TCTGCATCTGCAGAGCAACCGGCATTTTGTTCCATGCCCCCTCATCAATTTCTGGCGGCCGTGTAAGTGCACTATTGGTCGGCATTGGTGGTGCAGGAGGGGGAGCAGGCCGGGGAGCAGGGACACCGTCGACAAGCCTCATGCAGCAGGGAACGACCAGGGAACAGGCAGGGGACGAGCAGGGGAGGGCAGGAAGCGGGCGGGCTACAGCTGCAGCGCGCAGGGGCGCGATCGGCGCGTCGGGCTTCGATCATAGTTTAGCTTCTGTATGTTGGCTAGCCTGAGCTAATACCATTCCATTAGTGCTTCTATCTACAGTCCGATCAGATGAGATAGCCAAAAACAGGCTACATATGGAGCTAGTAGTTATAAATATGCGTATCCCTATTGCTTCCCTACACGGCCAAATGAGGAAGGGGATGGGCTTGATATTTGCGATATTGCCGCACAAATAGATTGTATCAATAGAGACCGTTAGTTGACTCAATTTTCATCAAGTTATCAAAAATATCTCACGCCGACTTGGTGAAAAATCACCTCGGGCGTTGCACCAACGGGAGACCTGTCATGGGAGGAGAATCCTGTAAGGGGAAGTACCGATCCGATAGAGTTTGCGTCGTGCGAGTCGGCAGAGGTCTCCGCCATCGACAACTTAGCTATTGCACTTCGACATCCCCTCCTCACCTTGCAATAAATGACCATGTTCACTCGTCCAAGCCTCGAAAAACTCGCTCTCTTTCTCTTTACGCGATGCTGTCTATCTCCCGCCAACATACTCAGTCCTGTTCTCGTCTCGGCTATCCATGTCAAGAAAGCCAAAAAGCTTGATACACGGACGATCGGGTCGAGGGCGCGAGCGGGCGCAACGCAAGGTGGAGTTCAAGCGGAGCTCCTATTCATTTGACATTATTTCGGATCGCTTACACTTAGTGAAAATTGGCTGACAACTTGATGAAGGAATAATCGGAATTTCATCAAGACTAACGGTCTCTAATGTCATAGAAACAATGTCTCGGTATTTTTGTGAGGATTGGGCGAGAAGGTCGGCATCAGTGCCGGAAGACGAGGGTCGGGATTACACTGGTAACGCAGTATCAAGACAACCTATTTATAATCTTGATTCAACGTTTGAGTCGAGATGTTGCCTGGACCTTGGTCCAGGACGGTGGAAGCTCCCACAAAGACTTGTCCGCGCATAGCGCGGGGACCTTCCTTTTTAGGACGATTTCTTTGTCCGGATTTAGCCCCTATCTTAGCGCGCCGAAGACCCTCAGACATAAAGGTTTGTCCGTGATAGCGCGCCTGTAGGGTTGGTAAGTCGCGACCGGCGCTTGAATGCCGTGATAAATTACGACTGAGTTAGTCTCAAAATCTACCGTTCTGATAGATGCAGCCATGAAACTGGGCTAATCTTACGATCAGTGCCAGCAATGAAGGAGTGGCACCGCCAATACTGTATTAATGGCTGGGATTGTAATGATATCGTATCAGGTGCTCTAAGTGAGAAACCTTACGTACAATCTCTAAGCCAAGTATGCTAAATATAGCCCATCTCGCCTTGCAAAAGTGATTGAAGGTTTGGAGTCCGAACTCAGTGCAATGTCACCAGTGCATAACAACATCTGGAACATCCTGTGCTTTTAAACCAGCGACAATGCCAACTGCAGGCTTTAATGCAAGAAAGGTGAGGTGGATACTCGAGAGATGAGTATTGCTCGAGAGCTTGGTGAGCGTCGGTAGAACAGTTTCATTAATTTAGATGATGTGTAAGAGCGCACCAGTTGTTACTTGCATCTATCCGATTGGTAATACCCAAGGTCACAGAGCATTGACTCGAAAAAATAGACAATATCTACTACCTCGGGGAGTTCATTTGTTTCTATGCTTCTTCTGGGTCAGGAAAAGGCTCTCGTCACGGTGATCAGGATACCGCCCCACGTCCTGTAACCTCTCATAATACAGATATTAATTCACAAGTCTAGATCTTTGTCCAGGTATAGAATCATGTTATCTGCCTGTTTTGCAATTTTATTACACACAGTGTCGGTTTGTTTTCTACGAGAGCTAGAGGGCGATAATAGTTTCTGGTGGCATCATAGCAGCTTGACTAGCCACCTCTAGACGATCTGATATATTATCTCGGGAATGATACATCTTTTCACATCTCAGCCTGAGGTCAGGACCTCAAACTCGAGCCTTGGCCTTCGTATAAGTAGGCGTGCATTTGTTTCAGCTTGGGTTTCTACTAATTGCCAAAATCACGCGGGTAGGCATACTTACGGGAAAGGACGCCGTGTGAACAATTATTCCTAACGCGTTCAAGCTAAGCAGAAGCAGGTATACGTATAGACAGGCATATAGTATATTATTGTAGGCCTTCGCCACCTGTGGAGATACCACGGCGATATCAACCCCGCTTGTCCGTATAGCGCGCCATAACCCCTATCTTATAGCGCGCAAGGGTCCAATTCGAGAAAATTTCCGGACAAGCGTACCCGGGAGCTTCCACCGTCCTGACTCAGCGTTCTGGTCATGGTTTTTAAATGACCGACATCCAGTCATCGTGTCGGTCACGGTCGGTCACTGACCGACGCGTGACTTGGCATTCTCTGATAGACACAACCTGTTTTCATGAGCCCCAATTTTTGCTAAGTCCATTTTCGCACACTCTAAGCGAGCGGACTTAGAAAAAGTCAACCAAATCAGCGCAGGTTGCCACGCGCAAGTTGAAGTTCGACTTTTGCTTTCCATCTCTTTTCTTCCCTCCGAGTCACCACCACCAGCGACGCAAGTCCCTTTGCTGTTCCGTGTCCATTCATCCCCTCCGTCCTCACCTCCCCTTTCATCATTGCACCTCCTTCCTGTTCCTCTCCTTCCTTCTGTACCTTACACTCACTTGGTGTGGCTCGACCCAGTATTGCTGGCGAGGTGAGTTCCATATGTTGGATGGAAAACTGT